TAAAGGCTCGCTACTTGTGTTTTAATTCTCAGTGTTGTAGTCTCTATACTCACTTCCTGTTTAGCTTAGAATATGGCTCGGCAGCCATTTTAACTTTTGCACTCATGATAAACTCAAGAGGCTAACAAAGAAGTAAAGCAAGTGCTTATGGCGCTATGAGCAATTGACAATGAAAGCTTCGAGGTGCAAGCTTACACAATTTTTTTGTAAAGACAAGCTATTTGAGTTTTAGTTCTCGGTGTTGTGGTCTATACTAAGTGACTATTTAGCTTAGAAAATGTCTTGACAACCATATCAACCTTTACAGTCAAGATAAACTCAGCAGGCTGAAAAAGAAGTAGGTAAGTGCTAATGATGCGGTTAGCTATTGACAATGCTAGCTTTGAGTTTACAAGTTTAACTCTTACATTTTTATTTGTAAAGGCTAGCTATTTGAGTTTTTATTTTCAGTGTTGTCATTGCTATACTAACTTAGTGTTTAGCTTAAAATATGTCCAGAAACCCACATTCTCTGCATTTTTAAAAAGATGAAAGAGGCCAATGTAAAAGTAGGTTTCAGTGTTTTAATCACTATACTAACTTACTATTTAGCTTAGAATATGGCTTGGCAGCCATTTTAACTTTTTCACTCAAGATAAACTCAGGAGGCTAACAAAGAAGCAGGTAAGAGCTAATGTTGTTGTTAGCCATTGACAATGTTAGTTTTCAGCTACAAGTTTAACTCACAGTTTCTTTGTTGTAGTTGCTATACAAACTTAGTGTTTAGCTTAAAGTATATCCAGAAACCCACATTCTAAACATTTTTAAAAAGATGAAACAGGGCAATGTAAAAGTAGGTAACGTCTTCTCAGTGCTAAAGTTGCTGGTGGCTATTAATGGCGCTAGCCTTTAGCGAGAAGTTTAACTCTAAGACAGTATTTGTACATTTTATTTATTTATGTATTTATTTTTGGTAAAGGCTAGCTGCTTTATTTCAGGTGTCATAGCCTCTGTATTAACTTAGCGTTTAGCTTAGAATACAGCCAGAAACCACAAAAGAAGACACTGCAGATGGAGGTAAGGCGGTCATAGTGCTATTGTTGTGGTTAGCTACTGACAGTATTCGGTTTTAGCTGTAAGTTTTAGGTTAATTGTTTTCATTTATTATTGTATTTTTTTTTTAAAAAAAACATAGCTGTACTAGTTTCTATTTGCAGTGAAGTGGTCCATTCAGCAACACTTATGTGAGAATATGGCTTGAAAACTAGATTGANAGGCTCGCTACTTGTGTTTTAATTCTCAGTGTTGTCGTCTCTATACTCACTTCCTGTTTAGCTTAGAATATGGCTCGGCAGCCATTTTAACTTTTGCACTCATGATAAACTCAAGAGGCTAGCAAAGAAGTAAAGCAAGTGCTAATGTTGCTGTTAGCCATTGACAATGCCAGTTTTCAGATGTAAGTTTATCTCACAACTTATTTTGGTAAAGGCTCGCTACTTTTGTTTTAATTCTCAGTGTTGTAGTCTCTATACTCACTTCCTGTTTAGCTTAGAATATGGCTCGGCAGCCATTTTAACTTTTGCACTCAAGATAAACTCAGGAGGCTAACAAAGAAGCAGGTAAGAGCTAATGTTGCTGTTAGCCATTGACAATGCTAGCTTTAAGTTACACGTTCAACTCGCAGTTCTATTTGTAAAGGCTAGCTATTTGAGTTTTTATTGTCAGTGTTGTAGTCGCTATACTAACTGACTACTTAGCTTAGAATATAGCTTGACGCGAAGACGAAGTAAGTAGGGTAAGTGCTAATGTTACTGTTAGCCATTGACAATGCTAGTTTTCAGCTACAAGTTTAACTCACAGTTTCTTTGTTGTAGTTGCTATATAAACTTAGTGTTTCGCTTAAAGTTTATCTAGAAACCCTCATTCTAAACATTTTTAAAAAGATGAAACAGGGCAATGTAAAAGTAGGTAGCGTCTTCTCAGTGCTAAAGTTGCTGGTGGCTATTAACAGCGCTAGCCTTTAGCTAGAAGTTTAACTCTAAGAAAGTATTTGTACATTTTATTTATTTATTTGTTTTTGGTAAAGGCTAGCTGCTTTATTTCAGGTGTCACAGCCTCTATAACTTAGCGTTTAGCTTAGAATACAGCCAGAAACCACAAAAGAAGACACTGCAGATGGAGGTAAGGCGTTCATTGTGCTATTGTTGCGGTTAGCTACTGACAGTATTCGGTTTTAGCTGTAAGTTTTAGGTTAATTGTTTTCATTTATTATTGTATTTTAAAAAAAACATAGCTGTACTAGTTGCTATTTGCAGTGAAGTGGTCCATTCAGCAACACTTAT